CTTCTCAGCCACAGTTTTTATTTACTTTTCTCTCGAATTTATTTTTGTCCCTTAAAAACAGACGTGTTCTCATTAATAAGCTCTGTTTATCTTGCCGTTTGTTTTAGCATGGTAAATTGACTTAGTTTAAAGCACAAATTCATAAATAAATTCATTTAGCTTCTAAAGAAAATGGCAGTAATTACAGTCCTGTGGAGCATGCTTCTAGAAAACATCTGTCACAACAAGTTTTGAACATGAAGTTGGATTTAAAAAAAAAAAATCTTTACAAGCTAATTAATGACCATTCCCTTAATGTTCCAAAACATTGAAAGGGTGAGGACAAGAGAAGCACATGATGTCTAAAGCAGTCTTTAATCAAGTAGAATAGGAAAATCGAAAAGTAAAGTTGGATATGTTTTTTTTGTTTTTCTTTTTAATTAGTTTGTTAAAAGATATTTTTTTTTTTTTGCTTTTGTACACGAGCTTTGGTTTAGAGAAATTCTTGTGACTTGGAAGAACAATTCGTTTCTTAAACAAGTACCTTTCTTGTCAGACTAGCATGTTGTATGTGTAGCTTACCTCTGACCTTCAGTGTGTTAGGGTACCAGAGCAGGTACTTGGAAATCTTGGCAGCTGGCAGGAAGTAAGGAGAAGGTAACATTCCCAAAATAAGTTAGCTTGTTCATTTTGGCAGGAAAACAGGAAAGGAAGAGAGAGAAAATAGAGGGAAAAACAAGGCAGAAGCAGGGAAAGGAAGGACGCAGACAAGCCAGAAAAACAAGAGTGGCTTTTCAGAGTTGATTACTTGGAGATAATCATCAAGGTCCTGACCTGTACTACTGAGGTCTGAATTTTCTGTTCAGAAATGACTGAGCTTTCTGTTCTTTTGGTTTTCTGTAATTTTACTGTCCCTCATGGGTGATAGAGGAATAATTTGCATTAAAGATGCTTCTTTGAGGTGAAACACGCATGCCATTAATAGTTTATTTGTTTCTATATTTTTATTTCTCTTACCTGCCCTCTCTACCTCCTTAAAATCAGAATTACACTGTTGCAGCTTTTGTAATAGTGCCATTTGAGTAGAATCAAATGTCTTTTTTTGTTTGGAATGCAAGTTTATCTAAGTTTTGCATGTATTTGAAGATTAGGAGATGAGAAGGTTAGAAATTTTCCAGTTAAAAAAAAAATTTACTGCTTAGGTCAGGCCTCTTCTGATAGGACCAGTGTGTAATTCAAAGGACTATGCCTGAACTATATTTTGTATGGGACAAGCTGCAAAATGAATGAAACAAAGAGAATGAGTAAAAACATGGAATGTTGTTAATGTTGGCTGTATACGCACAATACCTTTTAATTGTTTATTAAAATAAAGCTGTTTTTTTCATAATTGTTATCAGATGGCTTTTTTATATATTACACAAAGGGAACTTTGATAGGCTTACTGTTTCATATGAAAATATTAGACTGGTTTTAGCTAATGTTTGTATTTCTCTAATGTGGTGCATGATAGCTTACTTAGTGGATGTGCATGTGGTAGACTTTTCAGATTTTCTTTCTTACTAAGCTGTGTTTTCTGCTCTTTTGTGAGGGACTCATGATTACTTTTTCAATGACACTTCATTGAAGTACAAGGTAATCATGTTATGGTAGCTTTAATTCATCATCATCTGAAAAAAGCAGTAGATAACCAAATTACTAAAGACTGGATAACCTTGTTTTCCAGCTTTTAGAGGCAGTGGTTGTGTAGAATAATCAGAGAGTTCTCTGAATGCTGAAGATGATTTACAATATTTCTTTTGGTATAAATGTGACAATACTGTGATTTGGGGAAATGAAACTGCAGTGAAATCTACTAGTAGAGGCTTCTTTTTCTTCTTCTGTTTACAAGACAGTTAAGTATGTTAGCAGTCAAATGTGTTAGGGACTATAGCTAGAGTTGAGATAGCAAGGGATGTGAAGGGCAGTGAAAAAGGCTTCTGTGGGTACGCCAGTGGTGAAAGGGCGACTACAGAAAATGTAGGCCGGATGCTAAGTGGTGTAGGAGATGCCATGTCAAAAGGTTGAGGACAACATCTTCTTTGCTTTGGTCTTTATTTGCAAGGCCCGTTTCCAGGTTCCTTGAGTCTCTGGGCCTAGCAACATGTGTCTGATGGAGTGAGGTACTTGTTTGTCTATGGTAGAGGAAGAGCAAGTTTGGGGCAGGCCAGTTCTGTGAGCTGGCCATGCCACAGGTCAGTGAGACTGGATGGGATGTGTCAGGGGGAGCTGGCCAGTGTCATTGTGAGGCTGGTTTCCAAAAGGCAGTGGATTTGGTGGCAGGAGGTCTCACAAAAACTGGAAAAAATACAGTGTCAAGGAGGAGGATGTGGGGAAACTACAGGCTGGTCAGCCTAACTTAGCTTTGAGGAAGATTATGGAGCAGATCCTCCTGACAGCCATGTCCTGGCTCTTAGAAGGCAGGAAAGTGACTGGAAATAGCCAGGACGGATTAACCGAAGGCAAGTTGTGTCTGACCTGTCTGATTGCCTTCTGTGATGGCATGTGTGGCGCAGGGTCCCAAGTGCATATTGTTTACCTTGGCTTAAGTGATGGTTGAGGAGACGACCCCAGATTCTTGGAGGCAATGGGCACAGGCTGTGGCAAGGGAAGTTCAAACCGTGTATAAGGAGCAACTTCTTTACAGCAAGAATGGTCACTGAAACAGGTTCCTAAGAAGCGTCAGGGAATCTCCATCCTTCAAGATACCAAAAACTCAGGTGGCCAGGGCCCAAGCAGCTTCACCTGACTTCAGAGTTGGCTCTGCTTTCCGCAGGGATTGTACCAGATCATCTCTAGAGATCCCTTTCAAGCTAAATTACACTGTGATTCTAAACAGATTATGGAGGATTTAGGGTTCTAGTAATAAAGTAGCCTGTCAGGTGCAACTTAAAACAGTTTATGTGTATACAAATTTTTAACCCTTGTCTCTTTAAAGTCAGATACTTTGGAGCATCCTAACATGGTGTGGGAAGTGAAGACAAATCAAATGCCTAATGCAGTTCAGAAACTCCTCCTGGTAGTGGACAAGAGAACTTCGGGGATGAATGAGTCACTGGAGTTGCTGAAGTGTAATGAAAACCTGCCCTCTTCTCCTGGATATGCATCCTGTGATGAACACATGGAACTTGGTAAATTATGTGACTTTTTCAGAAGCAGCCAAATTCTGAAGTTTGTAGTTTTCCTATAGTGAAATTACTGGAAGCTGACTGAATGAGGTTACTGATTTTTAACTGAAGTAGGGCAGCGAATAAAACAGTGAATTGTGACATCTGAAGGTCTTATTTTGCAAGTCACTCTGCCCTGTAACCCATTTCCAGTTCTGACACACTGGCCTGTTGACTTAAATGTGTTCTTGAACTCAGAGCTACAAATTTTTGCTCCAGATCTCCAGAGGAGGTTTTTTTGGCACAAGAATAACAAACAGAAAGCTCAAGAGCTCCTCCTAAAGGGAAATTGTGCTGCTTTAGATCAGCTGCAAATAGAGATTCTGGGCTAGAGGAAATTTAACTTCAGTTCTTACATATTGGAGAAAAATAGCGTGTACATTAGAAACTATTGATACAATCAATGAAATATTAACACATTTAGTTGAAGTAATAGAGGGATTAAGAACAACAATACTTAGTTACATGAGAGCACGTAACACAGACTTTTGTTAACAAGCTGGGCTCTCTTCTGCTATTCTGTATAACATGTGAAACATGTCGATTACTGGTAGGAATTCACCCCTACCAGACTGTATACCCAGCTTTTGTGACTTCTGAGTTATTTAATTCCACTTCCCTGGTGGAAACATGGAAGACTTTTTATGTTGTTCAGCTCCTGATGTTGACAATTTTTAGTGTTGCACCTGCTACAACAGATTAATTTAGTTGCCTTTTGTTTAATGTTTCAGTATTTTAGTGAAGCATGTTGCTACTTTTGCATAATTCTGCAGTACAATTCTGTGTAACTAGTCAGTCTGGTAAAAACTTTTAAACCAGAACTGCTTTTTTATCTGATTATTTAATGTTTTTCTTAAATTGCTTGTATGAATGTATAATAGACTAGAGATGTGATTATTTCTGTGGCCGTTTTGTCAGTATTATGAATAGGCTTTGTGAAATGATTGGTGTTATGAGAAAATAAAATCAGGTACTTCATTGTGGTTGCCTTTTGATTTTTATTTGCAAGCTATGGTGTCAACTAGAATTTATCAATGGGTATAGTTATGGTAATTTGTGCATTTTTTTACAGATGATCTTCCTGAACTACAGGCTGTGCAGACGGATTCTACCCCACCTGCACTTTTTCAGCTTGGTGCCGATGTTTCCCATCAGGAATGTTCAAGGCCTTCATGGAACCAACATACCTCAAACAGCAATTCAGAAAGCACTTACTCTTGTGAGAATGGGGTGAACTGGTTGACAGAATTAGCAAATATAGCCACAAGTCCTCAGAGTCCTTTGATGCAGTGCTCTTTTTATAACAGGTACTGACATGTCATTTCAGTTTTGAACTCTTAAGATTTGTCATATTATGTCTCCAGAAACATTTGCTTCACTCTTCACACACTCTTGACTTTGAATTGGAGCCCTATTATTGATCTTTCTGTATAGCAACTTTATTCTCCTGCTGCAGATTGCACAGGACTCATTTCAGACCCTGTTGCAAAAGCTGCTTGCTTGCCAGCCGCGAATGAGGTAGGATGGTATAAGGACATTGCCTAACTGCAGAAGGCTCAGAAATGATGGGCATTTACCTCACATGAAGGAGCAGATCAGAAATTAAGATTAATTTGTTACGTTAAATTCTTAATACTTACCAGTGCAGTGACTTCAGATTTTTTAAAAGAGCTAATGGCAGATTTAATGCAATGTATTTTTTATTGATACTGTTTCAGATTTGTGATATGTAAATTCCATAAGGCTGTGAGAAGCAATGTGGGATCTTAGAAATTTCTGGGTTTCACCTTCTGTTGTGCGGCTTTGTCTTAGGTTTATAATAAGAAAATTAAATGCTGTACTTTTAACAATAATGCAGTTGAGATTCAGACTTCAGGACAGAGCACATGTCTTTATGGACTCTTAAGAATGGGGTATTCACTTCAAGATATTTGTAAAAACTTCAGCGTTGTGACAAGGAGATGCTGCTGTGGAGGCAGTACTGTCATTTGGGTGGTACATAGAAGCTATGCAGGAGGTAGGCTAAATACTGCCTTTGCCTGAGCTTGCACCCTTTAATCATCCCATTTGGATGTTGGTGTGTGGGAAGTTAATTTGGTATTCAGCTCATGGAAACAGAAATATTTGTTAAATAAAAGCATTTTAGAGTAATGGTAGGTAAGTCTTGTGTTGCCTTAATCTGAGATATTTTAAAATACATTTTTCTATTGTAGATCATCTCCTGTTCACATAATCGCTACAAGCAAAAGTTTACATTCCTATGCACGTCCTCCACCAGGATCCTCAAAGAATGATCCTAATTTCTCCAAGAATGATTTGGATGAAACACCAGTCAGACATGAAAGGGTGAGTAGTTCTGAAACATTTCTAAAATAAACAAAGCTGCCATGAGTAATGGGGTAAGCTTTTTGAAAAGAGAAACTAGTTTTTAAAAAATAATCTGTTTAGTTCTAATACCATTTCTGTTTAAGCTAGATTTCCTGTTACTTTTTATGAAACACAGTAGGCTTGTAGTGCTACATCATAGAGTCCACTTTTTTTTTGTGAAGAGATCACATTCTAAGAAAGCTCTGCTTCTCTGTAGTTCCTTCTATAGCAAGCTTTTAAAAACTGTATTAACTTATTTACTATCTCAAAAAGGAAATATGGAATCATCTCTTTTCAGCACAAAACTTGTCAGTCCTGCTTCTCCCTTTCCTGTGTATTAATTTGTGTCTGAAGCTTGTCTGTTAGAAACATGGAGTTTTTCCCCGTGATTTATGTAGAACAGACATGGCTCTACAGCTTTTCTGTAATTTGACCATAGAATAAAGTGTGTTCGGAGTGGTTCTGTGGATGACCAAGGAATGATGGCTTGTAAAATGCTTATACCTGAATCTAAGATGATCTATAGATGCCCTAATGAATCTCAGATGATGAAAATGAAAAATTTTTAGGGTAGAACATTTCAAGGAAAGGCTATTAAAATACTCATTCACATTTACTGCATTCCTTGAATCTTTGTTTTCATGTTACATTCTTGTTAGTATTTAAGGCGAAATTATGGTATAGATGCAAATTAGAGAATGTATCTAAGGATGTTTAAGACCAGCCCTAAGATCTTACACAGTAAAGTCTCAACACTATTTTGGTTTTTTTAATAGGCGAATAGTGAATCAGAATCTGGCATTTTCTGCATGTCATCACTTTCAGATGATGATGATTTAGGATGGTGCCATTCCTGGCCCTCAACCGTTTGGCATTGTTTTTTAAAAGGTAAAATAACATATATTGTTGAATAATTGTGTTTTCTCTTGTCGTTTTTTTTTTTTTTCTTGTAAGGGAGACTTATTTACATAACACTAAGCTTTTTTTTTTTCTTTTGCTTGAAAAAAATCTATTAGGCTCTCGTTTGTGCTTTCATAAAGGACGCAATAAAGAGTGGCAGGATGTTGAAGATTTTGCAAGATCTGAAAGCTGTGGAAAAGAGGAAAATCTCCCAGTGAGTCCTTACAAGGTAGCTGTTAGTTCCAATAAATTAAATTTAAATACCTGTAGCACGGTGTATAGTTTCTTATGTTATCTGTGTGCCTTTAATGACTGTCTCATGAAAACATGTTTATATTGAACTTACCTAGAGCGCGATCACTCTACTATTTGAATATCTTGCTGTAAAGCATTTGAACTGAATTCATTCAGCTATTTTTTGAATGTTACATCGTCTTTATTCTAGCTAGAGTACTTAGAATGTTGGTATTTTTTAATATGGCGTAAGATGATGAATATATATCTGTAGTATACACAGGTATAGGCTTTTATTGAGTGGGAAGTTTTGAACTGTATGTATGTTTACAGGGCTATGGGTCTGATGGTTTGAAGTTGATTTCTCATGAAGAAAGCACTTCCTTTGGTGAGTCAGTGCTGAAGTTGACTTTTGATCCTGGCACAGTGGAAGATGGCTTGCTTACAGTAGAATGCAGACTCGATCATCCTTTTTATGTTAAAAATAAAGGTATGAAATACCACATATACTTGGTTGTGTATTAAAATATCCTTAGAAAGTGGTTGCAGAATTTATTGGCATCCCATGTTGCTCAAGAAATTTCTAAGGGAAGTGTTGTAGAGTAAATCGACTATCTTAGTAAATAAATACAGAGTTTGAACAAACAAAACTGTAAAGCTACAGTAATACTGCATATCTTTTAAGGAAAGATTTGGTCAAGTATATAAATGGAGCTCAGGAAAACAGAAAAACTGGGGGGAGAAAGGAAGGCTGCAAATAAGGGAGGCTTTTCTTGCTTGCTAAACATGGAACTTGTGATGATAAAAGTTTCCAGATTTTGATTACTTTTTTTTGCTAGAATGAGATTTTACTTGAGATAACAATAAACTATTTGCAGTAAGAAATCCCTGAGCAAGCGTTCCTGATCTTTCTTTTGGGTGAAAGAAACTACATAAGAACATTTTTATAAAATGATATCATTTAGAGATATAGGATTGCTCCGGTTAAGAAATAGAGAGATTGTCTGGCCGTTTGTCTAATTTAACTCTTTACCACTTCAGGTTGGTCATCTTTTTATCCAAGCTTGACTGTGGTACAGCATGGCATTCCATGCTGTGAAATGCATCTTGGAGATCTGTGTCTACCTCCTGGACACCCTGATGCCATTAACTTTGATGATTCAGGTGTTTTTGATACATTTAAAAGGTAATTTTTGGATAAAGTGGCCTCAGTGGTTTTTGTATTTCATGAGTAGGCACCTTAAGTCTACAAGAATTTGAAGCATTATGTAGAGCAAAGAGAGAATACTTCTGGTAATGTAAGATAAGTGAGAGGGGAAAAATGAAGATTGAATACAAAGAAAGCTGTGTAGTTATGTGCTCTGCTAAACTACAAAGTAGTATCTTGGAGTGAAATACCTTTTCAGCCCCTGTTTATGATAGCTTAAGCCAGATTAGATAAAGCAGTAAAATTAAGTACTATCTGTGTAAATTCTTCAGGTAAAGTGGGTTATGTTTGAAAAACCTAGTACAGTTTTCCCACAGTAGTATGTCTGCCAGCTATTAACTTGTGCTTCATACACAGCTATGTATCTGAATTATCTGAGTAGTTCCTTCATAATTAATGCATGTGCTATGGCTTTCAAATACAGTACTGTCATAATTCTATTTTTGTAAGTTCTGCTTTTTATGATTCTTCTCTAATACATCAAAATTACCTAACTTCAAAGTTTGATTAACTTTGAGGTTTGCCTTGCTTTGAGCAAGAGGTTCAACCAGATAACCTTCAGGGGTCCTTTCCAACATAAATTACTCTGATTCTAAGGAAATAGTATTAATCATAAAGATTTTTCCACACTGTTTTGAGATTTCTAGATTTAGTAGAATCCATCTTCTCCTATGATGTTAGCTCCTTTTTAGCATCTGGTTTTTGTCCAGTTGCTTTTTGGTTCTTTTTACAATAGAAAAAAATGTATTTAAAATGCTGTTTGCAGTTGAAGCCATAGGAGCTCTTGTATGATTTCAGTCTGGGATAATGAGTGAGTTCAAATTGCTTGTCTTCACTCATTTGCTGTCTGGGATTTTTTCTTCTTATTAACTCATATTCTGAACTGCATATTTAGAGAGCTGTTAGAATCATTATATTTAGACCTCACTGCAGAAATTGAACTTGTGGCTCCTTATTCATCCCGCAGCTGAGCTGAATACTGTCTGGACACTTCACAGTTCTCGTCTCTCTTTCTGGGCAAAAGGGAGTAAGTCACTGAGAAAGGAGTGTGCAGCAGCAGCTGTGGTTAATGGGACAAAAGAATTATAAAACAAAATCCTGTTGCTGTGTTGTGGGAAGGAGACTAGGGATAGGAAGTGTGCTGGACTCTTTGTAGAACAGAGAGGTCCTTTCTCTTGTGAACTTGCCTGCAAGTTGCTTTTTACTTTTCTAAGGGATTTTGGAGACATCCCTTCAGGCTCCACCTTTGCTTTTGGATCCATTACAGAGAAAGGGGCTGCCTGTGCAAATGGGGTCTGGAGTACCACTTGCGGTGTTTCCTTGCTAGTTGTTCTACTTTGAGTTTGGAAAAAAGCCCTTCAAAGCTCTTATTTTTGCCATAAATTATGCAACTATAGCCAGATTGAGCAGTGGGTGAGAGGAGCTTTAGATTTATATGCATTTTGTGTTTATTTTGTGGTGGTAACTTAGTGTTTTAGATTTATGCTCGAGTAGCACCTTCACAAGTGTGTTTTCCCCATATAACATGCTGAAAACAGTATAGCCTGCAGTTCCCAGACTGATGTGTCCATACTTGGAGATGGTAACAAATAGTCTGTGGAATTAAATGTCTGTAGTGGTTAGAGGTTAATTGTAGTTGTTGGTGAACAAAAAAATTACAACAGTTTATAGTATGTGGAGATCTAAACGTAATGGAAACAACTCATATAAGCTGTTAAAATACTTGAATACCGAGGAATCTCACGTTTTTGTCACTAGGGGGCAGACGTCTGTCAGCTTTGAATCAAATAGTTTGCAACGTCGTGGGTCTTTAAGCAATTTTTAAATCTCAGTGGAAGGTTTGTCTGTAAAATAACATGTAACTGCCTAGAGCAGTTACTTATAGTGTATATTATATAATTTATTTTAACGTAATGGTTTCATATTTGTGATTAAATATATCTGTAAAAGAACTCAACGCTCATTCTCCCCCTATCACTTGCCCCTTTCAGTACATATCATTCCCTGACCACATTTGGTGTATGGTAAGGACAGAAGCAGAAAGAAAGAAAGAACAAAGCTGATTTTGTAGGAGGATGAAATTTGAAGACAGTTTATAATTAATTGATGTACAGCTGGGCAGTTGGTAGTACATAGCAGGTCTTACAAAGTTGCAGTCTGCTATCGCATTGAAAAAAGCTATTTATTTGTCTGCCAAACTTTTTTTTTTTATTATTGACATCTGCATCAAGCAGAATCTCATTAGGTCACACAAAAGATAGCAGAATACTAGAAATTTAGGACAGATGACTAGTAGACAGCTGTTTAGAGATTTTACATGAAAATTACTTGATTGTTTTATGGTATGTCTTTTTCTTGTAGTTATGATTTTACACCAATGGATTCCTCTGCAGTTTATGTGCTAAGCAGCATGGCTCGCCAACGTCGCGCTTCTCTGTCTTGTGGAGGATCAAACAATCAAGATGCTGAGAGATCAGAATGCAGTAGTAAAAACTGTGCGCCTACTGCATCATCACATCTTTCCTCCAGTTCTTTGTACAGTAAAGCTGGCAAAAGCCACAGCTCAGGGACTGCAAGTACTGTGAGTGCCACTTCTCCAAACAAGTGCAAAAGACCAATGAATGCCTTCATGCTTTTTGCCAAAAAATACAGAGTTGAATATACTCAGATGTATCCAGGGAAGGACAACAGGTAATGATATAAAACTGTAGTTTTTTTATTACTGGTGAGCTAGCAGGATATCTGTGTCCAACTTTAAGTGGACTAAATTTTGCATTTGAAATAAAATGTGTTCATACTGTTTTAAGAAAAAGTTCTGAAAGATGCTGATGCAAAGCTTAATTTATGGGCGGACTTTAAATATTTACAGTACTCAGTAAATTTGACACAAGCCATTTTTGGCAAACTTATCTTCTGAGAAAGCATTTGGGTGAAGAAACTGACATATGTATATATGTGCACCTGCAGACTCACAAATACGCAACAGTCTTTGTTTACACTGGTGAGAAATGTTCATGGGGAAAAAAGTACCAGGATGTCTGCTTGTGTGTTGTAGTGGAAAAAGGGAATTTCTGATTCTTCTAATTAAGTCTTGACATAATATTGCAAATTGTTCAGTGAAGTTATCATCATTTATTATCACCTATATCTCACATTGCATAGTGGAGTACTGATTGTGAGGATATCTGAAAGATTTTAATCCAAATAGTACATTGCCAAATTTTGCTTGTCCTAAAGGCATTGAACAATCTGCTGAATCTTGCAGGAAGAGTTGTATGTCTGTGTGTTTGGTTCTTTGCTGGTTTGTTCTTTTTTTTAATCTATATATACATTCATGTCTAAACATTTTTTAAAAAAGGATGTCCATTACACATATTTTAAATAACCTTAATGTTTTGTGTGAATTGTGTATATGTAAATGTAAACTAAACACCATAAACATGTTCTGATCTTCTAATCAGATTTTTTTGCGCCTATAACATTTTGAGAACTTACTGTAAAAATTGCATTGTCACATAAAAAATCGAATACTAAATCTGGTAAAAATGAAAGGTGACAGGGTTTTGGGAGGGCTTTGGCTATTTCATAATGTTCTACTAAGTAGGCTGTAACTGGTGTTGAGAAAATAAAACCCTACCATACAAATAACCCCTCCTTAAATCCCAGCCAGTCTTGTGTGTCTTGGCAGTGATGTTCTGCAATGTTTATAGTAATTTCAGTGAAGCAGATCTGCTGCCTTCAAATTCATTGCAGCTATCAATGAGACATTGAACAGAATGTCAGCTACATGCTGGTTATATATTTAAGTTAAAATGCTATTTCAAATGGATGCAGTGAACTGGAGCTGTAGCTGGATGGATGTGAAAATAAGTTGAATATTTCAGTGAGCAGGTTTACCTTGAAGGAAGGTGATGACAAAGTTACAAGTAAGCTTCAGAGTGCAGTGCTTGCTCGCTGTCCCTGTTGGAAGGCAGTGAGTGCATTTGGATGCAATATCTTGGCATCCATAAAACACAGTACAGAAGAAATCATGAGTTAGTGATAATTGATGTTACAGGCATTCAGCTACTGTTGCTTAAGTGTTGCTGAGGCATTTATTAATTTAGCTGTTCAGAGACAAGTCTCATGTTTTTTTAAATGTAAGTTTGCGTTATTTTCAGTTTACCGAGTAGATCTTACGGTTGGTTACATGTAGTGCCCATTTCCGTACACTGGGATTCTTACCTTTGCTACAGTTACTTTATTTTTCTTACGCACGTAAGGAAGGACAGAACTTGAGGTATTCTAAGTTAAACGGTCTGTTCTGAGACAAAGTAGCTCAAGCCTCATCAACAAGGTAGTGAGCTGTAAACATTCAAAACGCAAGTCAACATTCACATGATACTTAAAAATACTGTGGACCGTAAGACTGTACTTGAGAAAGTGGTGTTGGGTAGCACTTGTTTCTTTTCTAGGTGTTCTCACTGTAACCGTAATTGGACTTGATTGTACCTTCAGAAATACTTGAATAATTTGAGTAATATGTTCTAAAGACAAAGAAAATCACATAAACTATTAACAGCATTTGTTCCTGATGAACTCTGTAAACTTCAGGCATTCTCAACTACTGTTTGATGATTTCTTTTGAATTAACTGCAGCATAAGGGATTGATTGCATCCTGCACATTAGTCTATTGCTAAAATATTGTCAGGTGTCTTAGCAGCCTTTTAAGAGGACAATGGCAGTGTACAGAGCACTGCGAAGTTCTGATAAGGTGAAGGGCGCCTAAGGCAGTGGTGCAGTAGGGTCAGTTTTTTCTTACTTGTTTCTGGTCAGGAGAATTAGGTGTCTGTTACGTCAGGAAATTCCTTTGTACACATCTTTCTTCAGTCTCAGTGGTTCACTTAGAAAAGTGTGTCTTTGGCGAAATGGAGCTTTTGTCTCTGTATTAGATTTTTCAAGCTTTTTGGAACATAAAGATCTGTACTCACTTTCAGCGCCTCAGTGGAGTTTTTTCTCTGGGGGTATAAAATACCCACACATTTTTGCATCTGAAATACAAAGATTTCATAGTGTATTTTTATTTGGAAACTCAGTGGCTTTTTCAGCAAACCTGCAGGCTCTGGGTCACTGTGTTCTTTCTTGGGGGTATGAGTGACCCAGTACAAACCAGTGACTAAAACCAGGCAGGTTTCTGGTACTGTTGATTTGCCTCTGGATACTGCCAAAACATGAAAAATCTGCTAATTAAACCGGAGTGTGTTTACTTCTGATGACAGACTGAAGATACTGGTTCTTAATTTGGATAGAAAAACAGAAATTGCATTGCCAAAGAGACATGCTGTGCAAATGAATTGGATGTTGATAGGATCTGGTTGCAACTTGAGGAGTTTACTCTAAGAAGTCACCAGAGCATGTGACACCACAGGCTTAACTGCAGCCCTGCTGGAGTTCCTGCTGTGCTCTCTCAGTGCTCTGCAGCTCATGGAAGCCTGAACGGTACTCCAGTGTCTTGCAGCATTAAAATCCATTTTCTTGTTCACATGGTGCAGAAAAGCCTTCAAAATTGCTGTATGTGAAATGCTATGGAAATGGCTGATGACGCTCTGCTCTCCTTGATTCTGTTAGGAAGTCTACAAATACCTTTGCTGCCAGCAAGGAACTTTTTAATATGATAAAACAGAGTACTTAGTACACCTTTTTCTTAAAGCAGGTCATAGAACATTCATCGCTGTAATCTGAAGCCAAAGCATACCTCCTGCGTAGTTTAGTAACTGTCCTTGATAAGAGCTGTTATTCACAGATTCTCATTCAGCTTTTTAGAGATTTTCATTCAGTTAAAGCTTTAATGGAATATTGATCTAACATTTGAGAGTGCAGTTAAGCAATATGGCATGATAATATGGGGAAATATTGTCCAAAAGACATGAAGTTTGTAAGAAGTAGGAAAAGCAATTCATTCAGCTTCTGGAAATAATGATAGGTGTGTTAGAACAAACGGTTCCTTTTGCATAGGAACGGGAACTTACCAGTATGTTCCGCCCACTCGTGTTCTCCCCAGTCTGGATTAAAGGTTGAGAAAGCTACACACATCTATTAAATAGACATGGGGGTTTGCAGTTAATCAAGTATTTGTTTGAGGTCATGTTCAGATCGTTGCCCTAATTATCAGAGAACATATTTTCAGCAAGTCTGTCATACGGTTTTCTAGTAGGAAAGTAGAGCAAAACAAACGTAAGTTACCATTTGGTGATGGTTTTTTAACATCCCTATTTTACTGGTTTATGCAAGTTGCTGTGTATTCAAATGTACAGTCTTTGAAATGATAGAATGTGCATTCACCCATGTGCAGCTAACACAGAAGTCTCAGCTGTTCAACTGTTAAAAGTATAAGTTAATCGGAAACATGATTGTTTAAAAAAAATTTTTAAAGATGCAGTTGATTTTGTCTGTCTGTATTATTTTCACATTTGACTTCTGTCTTCTTTAAAGTGCTGAGATAAAAAAGAAAAAAACAGTCTGTCCTGACCATATTGTAAACATTTCTCTTGCAGAGCCATAAGTGTGATACTCGGTGACAGGTGGAAGAAAATGAAAAATGAAGAAAGACGGATGTACACCCTAGAAGCCAAGGCCTTGGCGGAAGAACAGAAACGTTTAAATCCTGACTGTTGGAAACGAAAACGAACAAATTCTGTATGTTTGTGAAGCAGTCTTTTTCATCATGCAGTTAAATGTGTTCATACAGTAGCTACAGTGGGTTTTGTTCGGGATAAACTCTGTTGTCTAATTCTCTCTTGGTAGCCCAAACCTTAATTTTACTCCCCGTGTTGTGTAACCAACTGCTTTTGGACAGTGGGCAGGAGACAGATCAGGAGAGGGTCTCTTTGAATATTTTATGAGAGTTTGTGAATTCTGTTGGATTGGAAGTGAGCGTGCTTGTGAAATGCAGAGGAAGGGCACGTCACCTTTTGTTTGAAGTAACGTGAGTTTTTAAGGTTGTACCTAAATTACATCTGTCCACTCCCCTCAAAAACACTTACATTTTCAGAAAATTCTCCTCTGTTGTGATTCAGTCATAGGCTCCTTTTTCTTCAGGAAAAGTTTTCTCTTTACCATTTTACATCTTTTTTTCTTCTAAATTTATACCGGCATATATGAAATTATTGAGGGATCAAATAATTTTTTTTCCATGAATCCCTTTCATTTATTATTATGTTTTAATTGTAAAAATAAATACAATACAAACACTTCCTCTGCAGGGAAATAAAATGTTTTCCACTTGGAGGAAGGCCATCAATTTAAGAATCTGCAGCAATGTATTAGTAGGTGGTAGATGTATTAAGTAAGATCAGGGCTTTCAAACTAATACATCATATCAAGAGAACCTAAAAAAAGAGATTCTGCCAACCTGCATGTTCAACTAGAAGAGTAGGTTGGAAGGAAAGATCCACTGAGGTGCCCAGAATCCCAGGTCCTTTCATCAGCCATTTTATGCCTGGGCAGGAGCATCAAGTGTGGTGCGGACTGAACAGGTTTAAGATTTCATCCTCAAATTACCCTCTTTCCTTTCATGTGTAAATGAGGCCAACTCTCTCAAGAGCATATGCATGTGTTGCCTTAAGACTGAATAAGAAATACTCCACCACCAAGTTGTTTCTTATTGCTGTGTAGATACTTGGTGCTGAGCTTTCAGGCCCTTGTTGCAGAAGGTTTCACAAATCCCAGCTGCTAGGAACAAGCTGGTTTTGTGTTCACTGTATTCTATTTTAATCAACAGTGACAGCTTCTGTTAGATTGCCTTGTCGGTTTAGTTAAAATAATACTATTTATTTGTTCTGGTTTTGCACTACTGCAGTTTGGGCATTGGACGGTGAGATCAAGTTCACTTCATGCATGCAACTGTGAGCTGCAAGGAACGCAGTGGGGGTGTTCCTGTACGATGGAGAGCAATGTTGAGGGGTTGGCCTTAGCAAGAAGGATGCGTTTCTTACCCTACCTTCTAGTAGGGTTTTCCTTGTTGTCTTAGGGTCTTCAGGCCAAGATAACAGTGTCTGTAGAACCTGTTAGCTCAGTGTTACAGGAGGCAGTACCTTTTTTGTTTTACTTCAGTGAACTAAGAATTTTGTTTGCAGCTTGGTTACCTTATCAAGTAATGATGGTGGACTCCAGGCTGGGACAAAGAGGTCTTGGTGGTCTTTTGGTCATCAGGGGATGAAAGCATGGGTTTCTGCCTTTTGTTTTCTTCTGAATAACTGTCCAATGGTTACAGGTACTTGTGGCTTTCACAAGTGTTTGCTAGATATAAGATAATGTTTACTTCCCGTCTCTCAGTAACCGCTAACCTGGTTCTCTCTTCTCTTCTCTGTTCCCAGGGCTCACAACAGCATTAAGCCAGAATTTTCCTGTTAACTCTGTATTTAGAAAATGGCTGTTGCTTGATGGCAAGAAGATGCAAGATCAAGGTCTTACTATTTGTTGTGACTTTGTATGACCATAAAATATTGGCACCATCAAGTCAGAAATGATTTAGTCTGAGTGCAGATTTGCTTTTTACAATAGAACATTAAGTAAGCTAAAACTATCAACATTTTAAACCAAATTGCCTTATTTTTCTTCCAAACTTCATATATGTATCAGGTAATATAGGCTTGAAAATGGATATCCTGTGGTGCTAAAGTACTTTAGAAAGAGGCGAAGGAGAAGTGTATAAATGTTTATTTTTAAAAGAAAATGTACAAAAAGGGGAATTTTAAAATATGTAACAGCTGTTTATATACATTGATTCTTATTGCTGATTAATATGTATTGCACAACCATATTATTAATTACGATTCTGGGGCCTGGGATTTTCCGAAATGGCAAAATGTATTATCAGCCTCTAGCTTCCCAGCCTGCCCAGGCGCCAACAAGTTACGGGAACGTGTGGTAAATGGAGAGCGTAGTGTAATGTAGCACCGGAGCTGCATCTTGGGTTGCCACGTATAAAATTCGTATCCAGAAGTGAGATGTTTTGGCACCAGCTGGCAATAGTGAGAGTTGTTATTTCCAGCGGAAACAGTGGCCCAGGCCAGGATGAAACGAATAGATAGCGTTATCTCAAGAAAAATGGTGCTGTCAATGTTGTCACCATCATAGTTTTAACTCTGTTTTGTCTTTGCCACATATTCTACATTATTTTATTTTGCCATAAGACATCTTTATGGTGGGGGCAAACTTTGCACTTAACTATACGTGCAACACTTGCACTTTACTTTTTTTTTCCTCCAACTGTCTAAAATTAGCAGCTGCATTAGGATTACAATTGCTTCTGCTGTGAACTTTTACAATCATGGCTTTTCATGTACTAAACAGCTGTGTGTTTGTTTTTTAAGAATCACAACTGTAAATTTCAGTTTATGACACGTCTACATGATGTTGCCCCTAAGATTTTTGCACACTATATTCTTGTATATTATTTCAAATAAATTCATTAAAATTTGGTGTTGTGTATTGTATAAAATGAAGACGACTAATCGTTAAGACAGCCCTGCAGAGATGAGTATGTTCTGCGTAGAAGTCTACATGAACCTGTCTAAGGTGCATTTTGATGTCTAGTTAGGAAGCTGCTGAAGAATTTCACATACTGAATTCAGGATTGGGTAGTCAGTGATCTTTATTACAGTTTAAGCAAAAAGAGAGTTGAAATCAAGATAAATTATTTCAAAGCGAGTAGCAGTGCAATAGTGAATCACATTTGTTATAAATATTTTTCCTTGCGTTAAAATTAGTGATTTTTAGATGGAAACTGATGATGCCAGCATTTCAAAAGTACGCTTTTCTGAATAAGGCTAGAATGTATTCAACTGTTTAAAACTGTACTTGTAGGAAAAGAGCTACTTCCTTATTTGAGATATTCAGCAATTATACTGTAATATTTGAATATGTTCTAATTTTATACCTTTCTAAATTCAAAAGGAATACTAAAGAATGATTAGTTTTTATTACATGTAGATTTACAGTACATAAAAATTGTACTATTTCCTTATAATAGCTGTGTATAAATAAGGTCCAGTAATGTGAAGGTAAAGCAAGAAGACGGGCCATTTTATAGATGAAGTACGTAAACACTTCCATTACAAAGCTTATGTATTTGGAAATCACATGAACCGTGAGCATATGTGTGGTACCCGAGACCCATGACTGTGTTTACTGTCCAGTCCCTATTTTGAGAAGTTTGTCCAAATACCTTCACTGAAGGGTCGCCATCGCTTTCTGCAGCAGCTGAACCATTATGGGGTAGACTGGTGCAAACTCCTTTCCTTCTCTCGTTCTTACTGATTGAACATAAGCTTCAAGTGCACCGCTGAAAAAAAAAAAAGGAAAGGAAAGTAGCTAAAGCAATTAAATTTCAGACAAGTATGGTAAGTTCAGGATCTGTGGAATTTTCCTCAGATGGTCGTACATGTCTGAGGAAGGAAGTGGGCAAGAAAGGCCTTACAAAGCTCTACATAATTGTTTCATGATCTTTCTCTTCCTCGCATGTTTTGAGGAGCGAACAAGTTAACATTTAAATCAGCAGCAGCAGCATGTTGCAGATGGCTTGAAATGACAGCTCTGACGCACAGACTCAGGCACATTGCTGTACTGGTAACCTTTAGAAATGAAAAGAATAGACTCCAGCTGCTGCAGACGCCGAGAGTACGACTTGGAGAATGAAAACTGGGGCACTGGTGAGCAAGCGAGATGCCTTCAGGTGATTTCCTGGCTAAGTCTTTTGAACTGCCACTGTCCTTTGGGGAAGGCTGCGCTAACCCGCAGACAAAGTGTATGTCTGCGTTTGTGTTTTTCTTACACATTGTCGTAGGATGTCACACGTAGCAGGAGTCTTGTGATTTACATAAATACATTTCAAAGCTAAAAGGGGCAACTGTGATTACGTACTTTGTACATAATTTAACTTGCTTACAACACAGGGCCACCTTTCAGCCAACGATTCTAGTAAATGGTGGTGAAAGACAGCGTATCTGTAAAACTTTGTAAATGCTGATCTGTTCAGATTTTTCTAATTAACAGTTCATGAAGTGGGCCAAGTTAGTTTTGCAATACTTAAATACGGTTTCTCATAACAGCTGTTCTGTAGGGCAGCGGGTCCTGCTGCTGGCGCCCAGGCAGCAGAGCTGAAATCGTCACACTGGGTAACTGAGTGGGGTAGCAGTCCTGGGGTTTTGTCCCCCGTATTTCTTTATGGAAGCGAGGGACACACCAGCGGTCTGCTGGGATTTGGTAACGTGGCCGGAACGTTCCCAGTCCCACTGGGGCAAGGCGGGTGCTTGTCACACACATCTGGTGATGTGAAGGGGGCTGTGGGGTTGGAGGCAGACGGTAGCAGTGTTGTGCATATAAGTACACATCAAGTGCTGTAAGACGGTGGGCTGGGCCAAGGCGGGCAGAGCTGTGTTTATGTTCACTGCAGCCAAGCTTGGGGTGAAATACTGCATTCCCGCCCAGCGCTCGGGGGACCCACGGCAGCACCGCCAGCCCCCGCGCGCCTGCTGGCAACTGGAGGTGTCGGGAAGTGAGCAGGCATTTAATTAGGCAAGGACTAAAGAAAGCAGAAGCACTTAAGGGGTGACACTTCGCTTGTGTTTCACACACAGTGTCCTTCTGGAGTAGGATGATGAGAGACGAGAGGCCTGGATCTCTCTGGGATGCTGCAGCACCTACCTAAGACACCGGCATACCAGCCTAGGCAATGGTAGGGAGAAGGGGCGTCATGGTACACTTTGTTGCCTGCCACTAAAGCTGTTGCTAAACCAGCAAGGGCTCTGAACTTCCTAAATGAAAACTAAAACCCACCCATGTCAGGGCATTGCTGGGAATCTCCAGCAAAGTTCTTTTATTAACAGGTGGGAGACACTCCTGAGGCCAAAAGCCCATACTGGGTTTGCTGGAGAGCTTTGGTTTCTGAGAAGCCACTGATGGCGATGACAGCCTGGCCCCGTGAGCTGGTCCCAGGGCTGCGTCCGCTCCTGCCAACGCTCCTCACCTCCATCAAAGCCGGGTGCTGATCTGTAAAGCTTCCCTGCCAGAGTGCCACAGGACGAGCTCTGTGTCCACACACACACACACACTTGCAGTTGGGCTCCCTGGCCTGTTGCTAATGGAATCTGACAGGGAGAATGAAGCGTGCAGCTGTGCCACGGGATGGGAATGAACCAGCACAGGCACGAGATGATGCCCACCACAGCTCCCGATATCCCCAGGTGGGGCAGCTGTACTTCAGCCACCCTCTTTACTGAAACCCAGGGGACACTGAAGCTGGGGTGATGCAAAAGGAGGATGGACTGCGTTATTGGAGAGAGTTGAGAGATTTCAGAAGAATGAAGTGACTGAGCAAAGAAAGAATCCCTTGTGTTGGCGGGGATGCACTTGAGAGCTCTTCAATTTCGGTAACAACTTACTAGTGAGTGACTGCTGAGGGGTCCATACCAGGTGCCAACACACTCTGAAAAGGTGCTTGCCATGTTTTGCACATCAACAAACAGCAAGAGAAAAGTTACCCTCCATTACCGCCAGAAAGGCAGGGAAAGAATATTTATTTTATCTAGCCAAAATAAAGCTGACATGTTGCACCTGGTCAGCTCCCAGAAAACCTTCAGCCTGCACTTCCCGACGGTCTCTGGGGAGCAGCACAGTGTGCACAGGGAAAGAGACAACAACTAACAAGCTGCTTGCTGCAGCCACAAAATACATCAAGTGCAGCTCCCCTCAGTCCCAGCAAAGGCCCTCCGCATGATGGCCTGCAGAGAGATCAGGCACAGCCGCAGGGAAGTTTTAAATCCCAAGAGTGAAAGAGAAGAAGTGAGACTGCGGGAAAGGGACAGCAGGTTGTGTGCTTTTTAGATAAACTGGCCTTTCGTGGCAATGAGGGGCAGAGCACGTGATGAGCAGACCGAGCAGTAGGTGGGAGATGCAGGCAGCGAAGGCTCAAGGATCCCATCAAGATGAGGGGAGATGCTTCACAGGAGTCAGATGTGTCTCACCTTTCCACTCAGGTCAGCACTCAAGTGCTCTGGTCAGCAGTAATCATTAAACGTTAGTTACCTTCTACAAAGAATAGTCCCTTGTATTAAAAAGACAGTTGAGAAACCCCTGTGACAATTTTCTTACTGTAACTGTCATTCATCTTGCTGAATCTCTCCCTTCCACTCACCAGTGTCCCTGTCTTCTCCTCTATACCCCAAAGTTTGTTGGGCCCAAATAGTTTTTAGAAGTCATCAAAAGCTGAAAATAGGAAAAAAACATATTGACCTGCTTAACTTAGAAAGCTCTGACACCTCTTGGTGAAGTTGTGGGTTGGCATCATTATCCAGATGGTAACACTGCTATCCCTTCCTGACTTTATCTCCTTGCTTTGAAAAAGCCCTTGAAAAAGATGACAGAGATACCAGATCCCTTCAGATGAAAGGGAGCAGCTTTACCCTAAAAGCAGCACCCAAACCCACTCAATGTCAGCCCTTGATAATCCTTAGCCAGACTGTTATTCCCATCACATCAAACAAGAGGGAATAAGATTTAGGCTACGCTACGTGCCAAACACCGGCATTAGCATCCTGCTGTCACACCTTCCAGCAGCTTTTATCTTTTTTCTTCCTCTCCTGCCTCAAAAGAATCTGATTTAACTGGCAAAACCAACTCCATCAGTGGCAGCCACTCTCCTCTTACAACTCAAAAAGCAGCTAAAAGGAACTTGGCGAATTGTTTGGTGGCCTCAGAACTGCCCAGACCCTTCTGCTTCCCAGCAGAGACCAAAAGCTGACAGAGGTTGGTCTTTGTCAGCTCTCTTCTGCTGTGCTTGCTCTTTTACTGTGGCTTTGCTTGCATTGTTTCAAAGAGACAGAGTAAACCAACCCAGAAGCATCTTAACTAACTCTCTTTTCAGTTCAAAAAAGACAACCAATAATTACTACTCCATCAATACTATAAGGTGAATTGTCAGGCAAA